AAGTATGTTAGACGGAGCCTCAGAATCCTTACCTCCAAGGAGCCACCCGGTTTAACACTTTCCAGGACAAATCTGTTTGTTTTCCTAGCAGGATTAGGTATTATTGTCATGACATGATTCCAGAACAAAGGCTTCATAGTGGAGTGGACTGGGGGGAGAGACTGTATAACAATGAAAGAATTTTTTCTTTTACTTTTCAAAGAGAAGAGCTAACTGGGGGGGAGGGGTGCATAGGGAGAAAAATGCAACAATGAATTAATGGAAATTCAAAGTCTCTGTAACCTTTTGTTAAAATTAATATAAAAAAATAAAATCCATATTTAAAAAAGAAAAAAAGAAATACTATAGTTCTGAATGGAATATTTAGATCAGTTTCAAAACCAGCAACATTTGGAATGTTCTATCAGGAGGTTCTTTAGGGCTATATATTCTATATGGACTCGTAAAACTATATAACAGAAATCCAGAGGTGAGCAGTTGAAATCCACCAGATGCTCTGCTGGAGAAGGAGGGACAATCTCCTCCTGTACCAATCAGATCTGATTTGACAGTACACACACACACACACAAAATAATAATAAAACAAATTTATAAAAACTGCATAACAGAAATCATTTGTTTTATTTGCTTCCCTACAGCACAAGCATTAAGTACTCACATCCCGGTGAGACAGATGGCACTAGGCTCATGGTCATTTGTGATGTGGCCCTGGGGAAGTGTAAGGATTTGTATGAGAGAGACTTTTCATTAACGGAAGCCCCACAAGGTTATGACAGTGTCCATGGAGTCTCCCGAACAGCAACTGTCGTGTCGGACTTTGAGGTAACTTCATTAAGAAGCAAAGAGGGAGCTCTGGTGGCCTAGTGGCAAGAAGCTGTGCTGCAATCCTAAAGGCATGTGGTTCAAATCCACCAGATGCTCCACTGGAGAAGGAGGGGCAGTGTCCTCCTGTGCCAGTTGGATCCGATTCAATAGTACACAATAAGGGGAAAAAATAGAAAGGGAGGAAAAAAGAGAGCTAGACAAAGAATGTTAACTTTCTGCTCTTTTTGTTAATATCTAGAGATCCATAAGTGTATGTAATTGTATGTATTGACTGTCGGAATCCACTTTTCTAAATCAGCAAGCCTGGAATTATTTTATATGAACACCAGCCAACAAAGGTTGTCTTTTTTTTCTTTAACCCACTGCTGATTTTTCTTTGGCCTAGGATGATGAATTTGTCGTCTATAAAACCAATCAGATTAAAATGAAATATATTGTTAAGTTTTGCATCTCTGGAGATCAGCAAAAAGCCTTTCATCCTCCTGGTGATACAGAATTAGAGGAGAACACGCCTGAGTTTCCAGGTTTCCCGAGGGAGGAGGGTAAGGCCATATTCTTTGCCATCTCTCAAAATCAGATATCCATTGGGCTTTATCATCATGGTTGGTAACAATGTCTGTGTTTAAATACCTCCTTTTTATTCTGTGTGTCTAAAAGTCAAGATAAGTGAGAGAGTTCAAGTGATCTCAAAATTATATATTACTTTATTAGGACACCACAGTTCACTGAACTTGTCCCCCTCGGGATAGCTAATCCTAAAACCCTGTGGACAATTATAACAATACTGTCATAGACTGAGTGTTCCAGAGAAGCTAAAACAATAGAGCATATATGATTTAAGCATTCATCTTGCCACAACCAAGCGTGTATAATCTTGAACAAATCACATAATCTTTGTGAGCATCAATTTCTTTGAGATGGAAATGGTAATGGAAATGGTAAAATACCTACTTCACAGGAATTCATGAAGAAACACCGATTCTTTAATCCATGGTTTCTGTATGATTGTTTGTACAGATGTATGCAAGGATGGTAACTTCTCAGAAAGGGAAAAATTGTAAACTCAAAGTATTATAATATCAGAGTATAGGATTATAGATTATAATTGTAGGATTAGAAAAATGGATTAATATTTTTAACAGGGGTAACATTTACTTATCAGCACGCATGAGTCCATATATATTCAAGCTGACTCCACATTTTTCTCAGGGAGTCACTAAGTTAAGCGTGTGGCAAGACATTTTGTACTGATGCAGTTAGCTAATTTGCATCTCTGAACCACCTAGCAGAATCCATAGAAATTCTCTCTCCAGTATGCTGTATTAGGAGTCAGAGGTGATCATTCTTTTTTTTTTAATTTTTTAAACTTTATTAATTTTAATGAACATTTACAGAAATCAGAGGTGATCATTCTTAAATTCAATGTTTATGTAGTTTCTTGTGATTTGCAAAAATGTCTTATGGCAAGACAGGTAATAGTGACTAATATAAGTGAGGGATTATAGATATCTAGATTTGAACTTAAGATTCATTTGTGTAGACACCTGCAACAAGTGGCAGGAACAGTGGACACATATATGTCAGAGATGAGGATGGCACAGAATTGGACAGAATAGAACTCTGGCTGACAAAGGGTCCCCAGGAGTCAGAGCCAACTTGGCGGCACCTAACAGCAACATGTATTTCTATTTATGTGTATGTTTAATTTTGTATCTTTCAAATAATAGCATGATTCTGCGTGCTCAAGAAGACTCCCAAACTCTCTATATTTAAACAGTAGAAGTGTCTTTTGAAAATGTTGCCCTGTTTTTCTCTGTCATCCCCTTTTTATCTTGATAGCATACTTGAGTGGCATCCCTGGGTGGCACCATGGTTCATTTACTTGGCTGCTAACTGAAAGGCCCAGCTATCTCTTCCCAAAGAATCAACCATGAAAACGTGCTGTCTAACCTTGTTATTATGAAGCACTGTCAAGTATGACTCATAGCAACCCTATGGACAATAGCTCTGAACCCTGTCCTAGCAGGTGCCAACCTCACAATCCCCGACACACTCAAGTCCATTGCTGAAGTCACTGTGTCAAACCACCTGGTTAAGGGTCTTCCTCTCCTGTGATGTCCCCCCACCTTTCCAGGCATGTCCTTTCTCCTGCATTGTCCCCTACCTTTCCAAGGATGATGTCCTTTTCCAAGGAATAGCCTCTCCTAGCAACATGTCCAAAGACGGCGAGACAGAGCCTCCAAGGAACACCCCGGCTGTGCCTTCTCCATGTCATACCTGTTCTTTTGGCAGTCCGTGGAATGTTCAGTACTCTTCTCCAGCACCACAGTTCAAAGGCATCAATTTTTTGTCTGTCATCCTTATTCAATGCCCAGCTCTCCGCATAGGAAGAGAAAAAAGCCATGGGCTGATTCAGGCACACCTTAGTCCTCAAACTAACATCATTGCTCCCCAGTAGTTTGCAGAGGTCTCTGACTGCAGACTTAGCCTTAGCTTACTGTAAATCAGGATTGATTTGCTTACAGCTAGTTGAATAATTGGATTAACTTTTTTCAGAATTTGCTATTATTAAAACTTATAAAATGCTGTTTTTCTACTTGTCATAAAACATAATATGAAAGGAAGGAGAAAGAATGAAAATTAAGATAACAAGAATGGCCATGCAGGGATGGAGCAAAAAGCTAACACTAACATTTTTAATAAACAGATTACCAGCTACCAGACACCCAACCTTTCAGCAATGTCAAAGCCGGGCTTCAGGACCACGGTGGGAATGTTGTTCCTCTTGAGGCTGTTGAAATCAAGGGGAGGATAATAGACACTGTGGCCCAGGTATGCTGTTTATGGCTTTATGACCCTTAAATTAAGTGAGCTTTCATGGTAAATGAAAATTGGAGCTGTATGAACTAAACAAAATGTTTTCTGTCCAAAATCTCATTTGGCCAAATGTTCCTGCTATGTACCAGGCACTAGACTAGGCTGTGGATGTATGTCAATGAACAAAATAAAAACTCTGCCCTCATGGAACCTGTATTCTCTAGGGGGAAATAAGTAAAGCATATCAGGTAAATCCTGCAAAAGCGGGGACCTGTGTATGGATAAAAGGAAACGGAAATATTTTCCATTTAATGTGCAACAGAAAACTCCCAAGACTGCCTCCGACCAAGCTGGGAAACCTGCGAAGCCTGGTGCAAGAGAGGGAGGCAGTTCCAGATCATACAGATTTTACTCCGTTAATAGCAGTTGATGCTAAAGAGAGGAAGGCTTTCAACGATAGGACAAGCACTGCGCAAGGTGGGGTGGGGGCATCGAAGGCTTTCAACGATAGGACAAGCACTGCGCAAGGTGGGGTGGGGGCATCGAACTGTAGATAAGAACGCTCCTGGAGGCCTTGCCGAGAAGGGGCCATCTGAGTATAAATTTGAAGGGGATAGGAGATTATGCCATGTGAGTATCTAGAGGATATTCATTCCTTCAACAGCACATGCAAAAGTCCTGAGGTTAGGGTGAACCTGATGAGGTCAGGGACCACCAAGCTGGAGCAGAGTGGGAGAGGGAGAGTAAAAAAGAAATAGAACCAGAGAGGAAAGAGGGTGGGACAGATTATGTGAAGATATAGCATTTTTACTTAGCTCTGAATGAAATGGAAGAGGGGGTGTGTGTGTGTGTGTGTGTGTGTGTGTGTGGTTTTGTTTTTTTGTAAAGGAGTAACCTGATTGGCTCTGCTCTTTTGATGGGATTTCTCTGGCTGCCCTGTTGAGAAGAGTTTGTAGAGGATCAAACAAATAGGAGGCATCTTGGGTCAGATTCCCTGGAAAACAGGCTCAGGATGTAACAATACCTGCAAACGAATGAGGGCGGGAGAAAGTTGAAATGTGACATAGCTACAGCAGTCATCGGACACACCCAAAGGGAGCTGTGAGGCTGAGATGGCCCTTTATTCTTGGTTGATGCAAATGGCCTGGGCTTTCTCCCAGACGTGAACTCTTCATCAGAGGTGGGCTTCCCCTGGAGAGGTTATCATTTTAGGTGAGGCACTTCCTCTTCGGTGAGCGCAGTGACTCTGTATTACCTTCGTCTTCTTTGATGTTTCCTGCATCATTCAATAGTTTGTCCATGGGATTCTCCACTCTTGCAAACTCAGGACTGAAATAATTCCTTCAGTTCTTTCAACTTGAGAAATGCTGAGTGTGTTCTTCTCTTTTGGTTTTCTAATTTCAGATATTTATAATATATATATGGTATGATATATATTCTATATACATTCTGTATCATCTATTTCTAGTATGTCATGTCATTAGTGTATTTATGAGTTAACACCTTGCCATCTTAAACTGCCTTTTAAAATCTTGTGTTCAGCTCTCTCATCATTTAATCCTTTCACTTTTAGCTTCTCTGTATTCAAATGCAAGTTTCAGAGTCTCTTCTGACCTTCTTTTTGCGATTGGTATTTTCCTCTCACATTAGAGCTTTTTTTAGAGCCTTTGAAGTCAACTCATCTGCTCTTTGGTCATTACTGTTCAGAGCATCATATCTGTTCTTTAAATTGTCTTTGAATGTAGGTGATATGTACTCAAAGTCCCATTTTGGCTCAAATGAACTTGTTTTTATTTTCTCCTTTCTAATTTTCTTTCTTAATGCAACTTGTACCTACATATCAGCGATTGGTGTTATGTTCTGGAGATGGCCCTTGGCCTTGTTCTGATTGATAAGACTGCTTCTCCATCGTCTCCTTCCATAGTTGTAGTCAGGTTTATACATAGTTGTAGTCAGGTTTATACCTGTGTACTTTCTCTGTCTGCATCCACAGAAAATAGTCAGAATCGCTGTTGTTGACAAAAACATATTTGCAATGAATAAATTGTTAGTCTTGCATAATTCTGTCATGTGATTTCTAGTGTCATGTCTATTACTGTGGCCAAATTTTCTATCTGAATTCTCTATTTTCTACTTTTATATTCCAGTTGCTGGTGATTACCAGTGCTTTGGTTGCATGTTTGACCACGTTCAGACTGTAGAATTTGGTAAATGCATTCAATTTCTTGATCTTTTACATTAGTGGTTGGTGCATGAAATTGAATGGTCATCATATTAAATGGCCTTCCTTATAAGTGTGTGGCTATAACACTATCATTGCCAGTGTTGTAGTTCTGTGTAGATCTTGAAATGTTCTTTTTGATAATGAATGTTGACATTTTTCCTCTTCAATCTGTAGAGCAATCAATGTGATTTTCTAGTTCAGAATGACCAATACCAGTCCATTTTACTCACTAATGCCTAGAATATCAACTTTTTAAAAAAATTGTTTAATACTAGTTTGCTTACAAAGTTCTTACACATAGTTTTTCACACTTGATCTTTTTCGTTTCCTTTACTCCCCCCCCCCCATCAAATTGTGTGACTCTATGATTATTCCCCTTCCTATCCTCTGCTCCTACCCTCTGCCTCTTGGATCCTCACACCTGTTTTAGTAATTTTCTTTCTATTTCTGCAGTAATGATCTTATACAGTATTTGTCCTTATGGGACTAAGTTACTTCACTTAGCATAATGCTCTCCAGTCCCTCCCAGGTTAGGTAGTAATTTTCAAAATCATTGCTTCCGCATGCTGCAGAGCATTCCATCTTGTGAATGTACCACAATTTCTCAATCCATAGAATATCAGTCTTTATGATTACTCTTTCATTTCAGACAACTGCCAGTTTTCCTGGTTTCATCCTTTGTACATTCTTTGTTTTGATGATGAGTGGGTGTTTGTCACAGTTTCTTTTTATTTTGAGTCAGCTGCATCAGCAAATGGAGGTCCCCAAAGCTCTATTCCACCTCTCTCCTTAAGGTTTACAGCACTTTGAAGAGACAACCATTCCCCAGTTGTATTTTGAGAGCTTTTTCAGTGTGGAGCTCCCCTTAAAGCATTGTGTCAGGCAGTGCTCTCTGCTGTCCGGAAGGTTTCCACAGGCCTGGGACATTGCTCGACCTTTCTTCCCAGTCCATCTTAATCTAAAAGCTCCACTGACATCTGCCCCGCATGGGTGACCCTACTGATACTCCAGCCGTATAACAAGGAAGCCATCGCAGTGCCAAAAACGCACAGACGTGGTTTCTTGTAAGTGGAGCCAAAGGAAGACTAGCAAAGCGGAAGGTAAATCCAGAAAGGCCAGAGCTCGCTCAGGGCACTAGTGCTGAGGAACCCCAAAACCTTTGCTTTTATTGGCATTCAGAAACAAAGGAATAGTTCACAGAGAAATGGAAACATTAAGGATTACCTCATAGGGCCCGAATGGGCCTGGTACAGAGTTAGATAAAAAAAACATACATTGAAGCAAGACTTCTTTGTATTCATAAACTGTGCTTTCTTACATTTACAACAAACTTATCAGGAGCAGAAACATTTGTTTCTACTCTCACAAGAGTTAGTGTCTAAAGATGTATGGTAACTGCTTGCAGGCCTCTTTCTCAGAGCGCCTCATGAGAGCTGCTTGCAGTCTTCCTCCTGAAGACATCTCTATGGGCACACAGCCACATCACAAGGATACAGACCTTTACATTCTTTGCCCCTTACCCTGGGAGCTCTGGTGGCCTAGTGGCAAGAAGCTGCACTGCAATCGCAAAAGCACACGGTTGAAATCCACCAGATGCTCGGCTGGAGAAGGAGGGGCAATCTCCTCCTGTGCCAGTAAGATCCAACTTGACGGTACACAGCAAGAGGGGGAAATACCACAACCAAAAAATAACAAAACAAAACAAACACACAGACGAGTGATACAGTGGAGGCTGCAGGTAAAATAGAGACTGAGAGTCAATATCCAATATAGCAACATGAACATCACTGTTACTGTGACAAATGTCTAGTGGCAGAGGCAAAATTCTTGGTAAGGTGAGTTCAAGATTGAATACAAGGGCAATTCTAGACTAGTACCAGGTTTCTGAGGCTTGCAGGGGGACTGTTTCCCTGGCTAGCTTCCCATTTCTTCTGCTGACTCAGTTGACCTGTTGTCCGCTGACTCATCTTCTGTTGGGTGCGTAGGAACTACCTAACCAGCAGCCCTGCGTCGTCTCACGTGGCATAGACTCTGCGTTACAATGGCAGCTCCTCTCATCTTCAAACTCGAGCTAAGAATTCAAGAGAAGTGATAAAAATCTGAGGAACTGAACACATGAATAAGAGATTCCCTTAGTAGTTGTTGTTGTTATGTGCTGTTGAGTTGCTTGCAACTCATAGCGACCCTATGTACAACAGCCCTAAACTCTGCTCTGTCCTGTGCCAATCACATTGCCTCTGACACACCCACCCCCATTACCCCAGTCACTGAATCAATCCATCTCATAGAGGGTCTTCCCCTACCAGAGGAATGTCAATCTGTGTTTCATTGATTATGCAAAGACATTTGACCATGTGGACCACAACAAACTGGCTGACTCTGAGAAGAATTGGAATCCCAGAACACTTGATCATGCTAATGCAAAATCTATACTTGGACCAGGAGACAGTCGTCAGAACAGAGAAAGGAAACACTGCATGGTTCAAAATTGGAAGGGTGTACTCCAGGGATGTGTCCTATCTCTATACCTTTTCAATCTATATGCAGAACAGATTATCTGGGAGGCTGGGCTGTATGAGGCGAAGTGTGGCATTAGGATTGGTGGAAGATCCATCAACAATCTGCGTTATGCAGATGACACAACTCTTAGTATTTGTAGCATCAAATATATGGGTGTTGTTTTTTTTTTATTTAAGGTCATCATTTTTCAGACATACACAAATCAAAGTTCTGTCCCCATTGAGGCGAAATATGTCTTTCCTCTGGATGATAAGGCAGCAGTGTGTGGCTTTGAGGCTTTCATCAACGGGAAGCATATAGTAGGAGAGGTAAGGGGAAGTCGTGCTTCAGGACTTCACTTTGTTTCCTCATTTATTTAACTCTTCTTTATCTGACATCTCACAGCTATGAGGGTGAGTAACAACCTTGTCATAAAGCAAAACTGTATTGTACTGACACAGTTGGCCTTCGTTCAAACATCTCCTCTGATGACTAGTTACTGTCCCTGTCTGTGCAGCTTTATTGATCCCCAAGCACTTTGCTTAGACATTTCACAAGAGAAAGAATGACTTCAACATTAAACACTTAAGAGGGCCACATGACTAATGTGCTTTTTTAAAAAAACTAGTCCTTCCACACTTTGCTGTAGGAGTCCTTCTGAAGTGAATTTAGATTCCCCCCCAAAAAGTATCCAAAGAAATAACTTGATTCATTCTTTGTTTATTGTAAACATTAACTTACAACTTGATTAATTCTTTGTTTATTCCAAACATTAACTTACAATTGCTATTAGAACTCACATTATTAATGTTAAGATAAAATCAATTCTTTTCCTTAAATTATTAACTTTAAGATAGAATCAAATTTTTTTTGTTCTTTAAAACAAACTTCTAATCTCATCCCTCCAACACCCCAGCTACTCTACAACTCTGAAATATTTTGTTCCTAATTTTGCCTTTAATTTCTCTTTGGGGTTCAAATGGTTGGTGATAGGCCCCCATTCATCTTAAGTTAAACTCTTAATTTTCTAATTTTGCCTGGATGTCTATGAACATGATGAAGTTTCTTTAGCCAAATCTGAAGTTCGTATTATGATGGATGTAAAAATTATGTTTTCCAGGTTAAAGAGAGGGAAGAAGCAGATCAAGAATACAGAGAAGCCATCAGTCAAGGCCACGGTGCCTACTTGATCTCCCAAGATACACCCGTATGACTTTGACATTCATCTGCTGGCTTAGTAAACTTATTAGAAAGGAAAACCATGAGAATTTGGAATGAGAGATACAGATTAGAAATCAAGATAATTTCTAGGTTTTGGGTCCTGGAGTTTAACTTGTTTTAAGCAGAGGAAATCAAGCCAGTCTGATCCACCTGACTTGTCTAAATAAAAGGGGAAGTGGTCTAAACATTACCAGATAGAGGAGACTGTTTCCATAAGTGGGAACTGAATTTTCCAGAAGTAACAACAAAAAGAAAATGCTTGGGTTACATAATTGTCTTCCGATAGAATAGAATATATTTTCAGGTTAAAATTTTTTAAATAAGGGCACCTAAAAATGTGTTGAATTTCCACCAAATCAAAATCTAGAAAAGAATGTCTACAGAATTCAGAAATAGAGCCAGGTCCTTTGCGTTCTGATCAGCAGCGTTAAGCGGAATGCAGCAGTGAAGAGGTTAAATAGCTCTTCTGCCAATTGAAAAGGCAGTCCGAACCCATCAGGCCTGCAGCAGGAAAACACGAAATAGCTTGTTTCTGTAAAGATTCCAACCTTGGAGCTCCTTTGGGGCCATTCTATCCTATCCTATAACATCAGTAGTCAGAATCCATTTGGTTGCAATGGGTTTATTTGTTGGTTTGGTGTGGTTTTAGGAATATAATATGAAGAATCTGGAAGAATAAGGATTATCATGTCCACGAGATTCCCCCCCTTAAATATTAGGTATTTTCAATGTGCCTTTGAAAGGTGCGTTATTTGCACACATTCCATTTGTAACCTGAATATCTAGTGCTAGTTTAGTTAATGATGGTACCATAGGCTTTGGGTGCCTCCACTGAGAAAGACGCATGGCCACACACCGTAATAATGTCATGTTTGCCATGAGTGCGTCTAACAGGAACAGTGGACGTTGATTTATAAGCTCATCGTGGCCCCATGCATGTCGAGCAGAGCCATGCACTCCAGGAGAATCCCTGTGGCTGACTTTTTGGGTAGTAGATCACCAGGCTTCCAAGATACCGCAGGGTGGACTTGAACCACCAGCAGGTAGAGTTAGGCAGTAGTAAATGATTACTTTTTCTGTCTAGGGTATTCATTTGTAGGAATAAAATATGCAGAGGTAATTCTCAGTTAATAGTAATGACTCCTGGCTGAAATGTCTTTCTAAAAGCTTGCAATTCATTTGATGAACTGCCGTCTAAGAACAAGGCTGCTAACATTGAAGTCAGTGGTTTGAATCCACCAGCTGCTCTGTGGGAGAAAGGTGGGCTGTCTCCTCCTGTAAAAATGTACAGCCTCAGAAACCTGATGGAGGGGTCACCATGAGCGACAACTGATTCAAAGGCAATGGGAATGTGTGTAGTGTCTGCTTGTCGTGTAAGTTCTCTGAGACAATTTCCATTTCCTGAGGAAAATGTGGGAGATTTTCTTTCCAGACATTCAGGTGATCTGAGGAATTAACTAGCACGAAAGGACAATGCTTTGGAATCGAAACCTAAGCAGTGCATATCTGTTACAGGATGTTTTCACGGTGAGTGTTGGGAACTTACCCCCGAAGGCTCAGGTGCTCATCAAAATCACCTACATCACTGAACTTACTGTCCAAGGCACGGCGGTCATCTTCTGCATGCCCGCCTCTGTGGCCCCCTGGCAGCAGGACAGAGCTTTGAATGAAAACACTCAGGTTAGTGTGCTTGCAACTGAAATGGCATGTCTCAGGATATAAGGAAAGGGAACAAAAGAAAAATGCATCCAGATAATCTAATCTTCTTGGCATAAAATTGATTATACTGGTAGTTACAGCATTTTGATACATATATTATTCTTATAGTTAAAAAGATTGAAAAAGTATGCATATGCTCAATAGGTTAAAAATTAATTTTAATGATAGTTTACAGTGATTTAGGGTTTGCAGTCATTTGTTGTTGCACTTTTCTCCCTACCCACACCCTCTTCCCCCTATTCACTCTTCTCCTTGAAAAGAAAAAGAAAAACTCTTTCATTGTTATGCAATCCCTGCCCCCCCCCCGCCAGTCCACTCCACTATGCAGTCTTCACTCTGGACTTCTGTAATGACAGGAATACCCAAATTGATGACCCTGGAGGACATTATGCTCAGTGAAATAGCTCAGCCACAAAAGGACAAATATTGCATAGGGCCACTGTTGTCAAACAGGACTGACATCAGGGTTGAGGGAAGACAGAAAAGAAGGGAAGGAATAATGTATACTGCATTGAAACAGATGAGGGAGAGAACTGTTCAATAGGTACTTTTATTCCATTCTAGGACCTAACAGTGTTTTCTATCTACGCTACACGTTCATTGTAAAGCATTTAGACAGGCGTCCTTGTTAGTTGCTGTGGAATTGGCTCCAATTGATGTTGACCTCAAGGAAGAAATCATTGCTGTCTTGCCTTGTCCTTCCTTGATTGCTGGTATACCCAAGTCCATCATTGCCACCACTGCACCTTATGAGGCCCTTCAGACCTAAGGAAGCCGTCTTCCAGCACCGTATCAGACAGTGTTCTTTGTGATCCATATGCCTTTCATGAGTGTTGGGCTTTTCCTCCTACTTTTTGTCTGGACGGGCTGTTGAATCCTACCTACCACGGATGATCCTGATAACATTTGACATACCAGTGGCCTGCTTTCCAGGCTTGTAGCCACAGGCAAGACACCACAGGTGGACAAATTGACGAGTAGAAGTGATGAATAAGCATAGAGAATGCAAGTTAGCCCAGAGAAAAACAGTAGCCTTCCCCAGTGCTATCCTCCATAGATAATGTGGTTAATACTTTGGTGTACGTCCATCTGGACTTCTTAGTGTGCATTTATTATCTTAATGTAAACATTAGACTAATATTCCTTTACAAATAACAACAACAAAATCAACTGGAAGATTTTATTGAAGAAATAGTTGTATTTCATGAAATTGAGTGCCCTACCTTCTAAGAGAAACTGCTTTTTATTTGTCAAAGCAAGCCAAGGAAGATGACTTGTATTCATATACTTTGGGCATGTGATCAGGGTGGGCCAGCCCCTAAAGATGGACATCATATGTGGGAATGTAGAAGGTCGGCAAAAGAGAGAAACATAGGGCAAGGGAGGAAAATGTGTAACCACAAACCTAATTTAACAACAGTTCCTAACGAAACATTATTTTGGGTCTCCTGATACAGTTCAACCAAGGCAGGATTTCTAAACACGTAAGGTGAGCGTTTTGATGTAGGGCCTTCTGACTGCAGGGCAGGTCAATTCTAGCTGAAGCCCTTGAAATGGAAAACCGACTCATTTGGTGAAAGAGAGGAGAAGGTGGAATTCACGCTAGTTTGAAACAGATCCCCTCCCATAGAGACTCAAAAGAATTAAGATCCTCTCATTTAAAATAGTATTTCATTTCAGCACCGAAGTCACCCTTTAGTTTAAGCTAGCACCTCAGTTTGTTAGGTTTTATTACCATATCACTGAAATAAATTGTGTACGTGTGTGTATGTGGATACCAGTTTAACATGCACGTACACATACCATTCACACATAGATAGTTGAAAAGAGTTGTCAGGGGGGAGCTCTGGTGGCCTAGTGGCAAGGAGCTGCAACTACAATCCCAGAGGGACACGGTTCGAATCCACCAGATGCTCTGCCGGGAAAAGGAGGAACAATCTCCTCCTGTACCAGTCAGATCTGATTTGACGGTACACTCACACAAAAATAAAAAAAATAAATTAAAAAAATAAAAAAAAAAGAAAAGAAAAGAGTTGTCAAAATGGCCATAAAGCATCTCTTCTATTATTGTATCTCAAGATTTACCTTCATTGAGTCACAAAAGGACTAATATTGCACAGGTCCACTATTATAAAAAGCTAAGGAGTGATTTCTACACAGAGAGAAACATGCTTAGTTACCAAGGAAGGAAAATGAGGGAGAAAGGAGTAAAAATCAGTAAATAAATAATAGAAAACATACTAACTTGCATGAAGGGGAAAGATTTAAAAAAAAGTAGTTCTTGTCATTCTATAAGCAACTGTTGCTTGCAGCTTGGTTTATACTGCATTCGGTTTAAAATTTCATTATAAAACTTAACTAAAACTTGAATGTCTATTTTTTCCGCCTTTCTTTGCAGGATACAGTAGAGACAATTTGCATAAATTCAATAGGGACAAAGCAAAGGTTAGTACCTTAAATACAAAACCTGTAAATTCAATGAACACTCATTTAATTGCTGAAATTTCACTTAAAATTATGTGAACAACTGAGAGTGTAGTTTCCAGATACTGGAATAAGACAACTTCTCTTCCCCTTTGTTGATAGCTTCTCTCTGAGTCTGTCTATTGAGATGCCGTACGTGATTGAATTCATCTCCAGTGATACACACAAACTGAGACAAAAGGTTAGTAAATTTTTCTTTCTTAAGAACACTTATTTTAAAAGTTTATTTTATCAAAGCAGTGCATGCACATTGTCGTAAAAGTAAAAAAATCTTAGGAATAAGTTCTAAGAATAAGCAGAGTCCCTCCGCTTTGGCCCCTGACAGTCCCCCACCTGCACTGGGAGTCCGAACCACTTGAGAGTATTTCAAATCTTTCTTCAGATATTTATACTACACTTTTATATATGAAGGTTTTCACTTCAGTTTCTTGACTTATCTGTTTCAAAGTTTATCTTTAACTCTTAGAGAGGAAAGAGCATAATAGTTACAGTAGTAAAAAAAGGATTTCAATTGGTAATATGCAGTAATGAGAAAAGAAGAGGGAGATGGAATAGTATGTGATCAGAGCGATATTTGTTCTCTGTTTGGCCTAGTCTTTTTGAGTTGGCATCATACTTGTTGTTGCTGTTGCTGTTGAGTATCATGGAGTTGGGACCAACCCATAGCTGACCCTCCAGTAGGTTTTCAGAGGCAGTAAATTAGCATTAGAGGAGATTGCCCATCTTTTTTTTTTTTTTTTTGTGGAACAACTGATGGATTTGAACCAAGTACCTTTGGGTGGGCAGCACAATTCCTTACCACTTAGCTACCAGAGCTCCCCTCTGCCAGGACCGGTGTTAGTTAATAAGCCTCTAGTTCCCCTGTGAGGGAAATAAAGGACAAATGGGACTAGCCTCTTGGCATCTTGTGGCAGAGCGGGGACCTACGGACCTGACAGTTTAGTACTGAGCCTGTAACCAGGACTTTGGTTTTCTGCATCAGAACACTCAGGCTCCTTCCCACCGAGCCAGGACTGCCTCCTAGCTGACCCTGCAGTGAGGTTTTGCAGGGGTTGTGTAGCCAGGAAAGGTGTTGTCCGTCTCTCTCTGCTGGATGCCTCCTAGCTCTCTGCATGGCTAGTTTCCTCATTGTGGGTGCAGCCTCCTCCACTCTTACTATGTCCGGTAACACGCTGCCATCAACTTTCTTTTTTATTTTTTTTTTAATTTCCGTTCATTCATTGTTGCACTTTTTCCTCCCTGCCCACCCCACACCCAGTTCACTTTTCTCTTTGAAAAAAAGAAGAAATTCTTTCCTTGTGCAATTTCCCCCCCTCCCCAGTCCACTTTACTATGCAGCTCTTATTCTGGACTGTTGTCCACTCTCCAAGTCTGGAATCTGTTGACATCTCTCCTCGGCTTACATCCTACAGCTTCGTACCCCGTATGGCTTTCTTTTCTCACATGGTTGGTTTAGGGCTTTACTAGGAAGTGGAGATACACATGCCGTTGGTCCACCCTGAACTAGAAGCCTGGTGTTTCCACTAGCTTTTTCTATACCACAACAACCCCAAATCTAGGCGGCTTCAAAGAAATAGCCATTTATTACTATTACGTTTCATGGTTCCATGATGGTCAGTTCTGTCTGGTTGGCTTGGTGGGAACAGGGTGATCTAGGATAATCCTAGTCATATTCCTGGCCACTGGCCAGGGGCTAATTGGAATGATGGTCATATGTCTCTTAACATCCAACTGGATATAGCCTGGGCTCATTCACAGACTAAAGGAAGAAGTCCTGATAGCAACGAGCGGGCAAGCTCAGTTACACACACACACACACACACACACACACACACACACACACACACACACACTTCTCAGGCTTCTGCTTATATCACATTAGCTAACAGCCAGAGAGCAGAGCCTCTGGGGGTGGGCGTCACGTGTGGCACTGCTACGGGAAAGGCCTGCACTCCGTTTTACAATCCACCATGTTGCTTTGATGGTCTTAAAGCTACTCGCCTGTATTCTTAAAATTCACTGCATACAGATGAAAATAAAATTTGCAAATAGTGTTTCATTCTCAAATTTTATTTTAACTTATTGTTTTCCTGCTGTAGGCTATCATTGCTTCATGCATAATGCATATCTGGTGTACATAGCTTTAGTCTAAATCCAGAAAAGTCCACAAACCTGTATCCTTTGGACCCAGGTTTGACACTGTCTCAGATTACCTTTTTCTACTTAAATATGTCTTTGTTAGTCAATCTTAGAATTTCACAATAGTAACTGATGGGCACACTGTTAAAACTTAACATTTTATAGTAAAAATAATAATAGTAATAGTGAAATTGATATATGACTGTATTTTATGATTATATTCTTAATGTAATTGACCATTAATGTTAATGTCTTTGCTCTCGTTACTCAATAATGTCAGTAACTTGGGTTTCCTGCTTGTGAGATACATGAACACTGATAGTCTGGTGTTGATCTGTTTCTTGCTGGTTTGTTTCGCAGCGCACGGACTGCAAAGCTGTGATCAGTACGGTGGAAGGCAGTTCCTTAGACGACAGTGGGTTCTCTCTCCGTGTCGTCTTGGCTGACGCGTACCTCCCCAGGATGTGGGTTGAAAAGCATCCTGAGAAAGAAAGTGAGGTATGCTGCTTCTCGCTTAGAAACAGGAGATGCCTTAGCAAACAGTGTCTTAGAACAAACTGGTTATTTAAATGTGCAAATTCTTGATATTGTTGGGTATCAGCCTCGGCTAACAGTGACCCATGTCGAACGGATCCTGCACCCTCCTTCCACTCTCCGCTGTGCTTAAACCTTGCGTTACAGCCAGCCTGCCAGTCCACCTCACTGGGGATCTTCCTCTCCTTCACCCGCTGGCATAGACAATGTTAGCCAACACGGGGTTTCCAGAGTCTTGTGTTCATTTCTGATCTCTCAGGGGCTTAGAGCCAACATGTTAAAAACTCTAGCACTACATGCTGATTTTCATTTGAGCTCTTCATAGGTCGTCCTGTTATTCCGTAAGTCTTACTCTTTTTCATAATATTATTTAACTTTATAAGAAAATTTTCAAATTTTATTTAGACCCTTTTCCAATAAAAAAATAATCCATCTTATTGAGGGTCTTCCTTTCTTTCCCTGACCCTCCACTTTGCCTCGCATGTCTTTTTCCAAGGACTAGCGCCTCTTGACAACATGCTCAAAGTATTTAAGTTGAATGATGTACACAAATGTAAGACATGTTTTTGGAATACAGCAACAGAATAAAGAGTGTGCTACTGGAAATTGGCGATGGGTAGGAGACAAGGCTACTCACTGGGTTTAAAATCCTAATAGGCATGAGTCACTGACCAGTGATAAGGCTGGTGAGAACAAAACCCCTCCAACTGTGAAAGAAGAAAACTAGAAAGACCTAGCAGTGTGTGGGGGTGTGTGCACCTGTGTGCAAATACCATACCTGATGTCTGAAATCCATGTCAACAGAGACGACAGATTGAAACAGTGTCTGCAGCAGTGGACCCAGGGCTGTCAGAGGTCCTGGGGATGGCGCAGGACGGCAGAGTGTGAGTTCGTTATAAGTTCACTATGAGTCATAGGTGACCGAATGACAGCATTCAGAAAGAATGTGCACAGAAGTGAATTTTGCAGTCTCTTAATACATAAAGTAGGAAAGGTGGAAACCTGTGAGAGCAGGGTAAGTCCTGAGAAGTGCGCGTTAGTGATGGACTTTATCTTCCTCCGTTCAGGCTTGCATGCTTGTCTTTCAACCGGACTTCAGTCTCACTCTCCCTGAAATGGCCGAGAACAGTGAACTGATTATTTGCCTCGATTGCTCCAATTCCATGACGGGTGAGGCCTTCTTGCAAGCCAAGCAGATTGCCTTATATGCTTTGACGCTGGTGGAGGAGAAGCAAAAAGTAAATATTGTCAAATTTGGCACAGGTAAGGATCCTGTGGCTCTGCCACAAAGAGCTCAAACTTACTGCCATTGAGCTGGAACCACATCTTAGCTGACCCTCCAGTGGGTTTTCAGAGACTTCAGTTCACACAGGGGGAAGTCACCCGTCTTTCTCCCACAAGAGACACCACCTGTGGGCCAGCAGCTCAGCTCCATGTGGACTTGCCACCAGATCTTGTCATTATATGTGTGTATTTAAGGGGGAGAGAGATGCAATTCAGCAAATGGCAATTTAATCTATGACATAAAGTGCACTTATAAATATCCAGCACATGATATAAAGTGACATTGTTGTTTAATAGTCAATAAAGTGAATTTCTAATGGTAACACACCTCATTGCCAATCTTGTTGTACAGGTTACAAGGAACTGTTTTCCTACCCTAAGTGTGTCACCAGCAACGATACACCAGCAGAGTTCATCATGGTGAGTGGACAGGACCTTCTGTGGTCTCCTGAGTGACTAACGTTGGGATTTTAGTATTGCCATGGAGGACTAACTCTCTTTGAGGCCACGATCAGAAAAGCTCTCGTTCTTTGGTATTTATGTGTTGGCAAGCTCTCTAGTTCCTTTAATAGAAGTACATCTATTCATTAAAGAAATATTAGTTGTTAAAAAGAGTAGAAAGAAAAATCATCCGTAGTCTCATCATTCAAATGTAAACACCGTTAATGCTTGGGAATATATTTTCCTTTTTTTTTTTTTTTTTAAAAAGTTAATTGCCTTCGCTTTATCTGAGTTAAATTGGCCTCCCTGCATTCCTCCCGATGGGGGATACAATTTCTTTTTTGTCAAATAGAGTGGAGCAAGCTGTGAGTGCAGATGGCAAACTTTCATATGTTCTTCCCATCAACGAGGGTGCAAAGTTGCTCTTTGAAAACTGTAACAAAGTGAGCGGTTCAAAATGGTAACAGTGTTCCCGTGTGACTTGGAAGTAAATAGAAAAGATGCTAGAGTTCCACAAAGGTGCGAATAGACACGCTTCAGGAAGGGTTGATGGTTAATGGTGAGGATCCCCAAGAACAACAAAACCATCTCTTGCTTCCTTTCCTACAGGCTGCCACTCCCACCATGGGAAATACCGACTTCTGGAAAGCTCTGCGGTATCTAAACTTGCTGCCCCCTTCCCAAGGGCTGCGGAACATCCTGCTTATATCTGATGGCCACATTCAGCACGACCGCCTCACGTTCCAGCTCGTGCGGAGGAGCACCTCACACACCAGGTTGTTCACCTGCGGCACGGGGTGAGTAGCCTGCAGGTGGGCTTGCTGGCGGGTTTGCACTGGGGTTCTGAGTTTTGGAGTTGAGGCTGTTTTTATAAGAGCTGTGCAGTGTGAAGGTGAAGACTGCCCAGGGTTCACAAGCTGAGCTGGCCATTTGTTCCTTGTGACCTTGGGCAAATTGCTTAACTTCTCACCTATACATGACAATACAATAAGGATCTACCTAATTGGAGCTCTGGTGGTCTAGTGGTGAGCTGTGCTGGCCACCGAAGGACACATGGTGTGAATCCACCAGCTGCTCCGTGGAAGATAGATGGGCAGTCAACTCCGGTGTGATTTACTGCCTCTGAAAACCCACTGGAGGGTCAGCTATGAGTTGGTTGCAATTAAACAGTACACAACAACAAAGCCACAACATAAGAATACCAAAGTAAAAAAAAAAACAAATGACTGAATGGCACACAACATCAACCACCTCATAAGGTTCTTGTGAAAATCAAGTCAATTAAATAATGTAAACCACTGGGACTTACACCAAGGAGGTGTTCCTCATGACTCTTGAGCTGAGTCCAACTCCTGGTAACCCTGCATCAGGGTTATTGAGGCTATGAAACGTCCTTGGAGGAGACGGCCTGCCTTTCTCCCACAGATGACTGGTGGATCTGAGTTGCTGCCCTTGGGGTTAGCCCAACCCCTCACACACTTATGTTACTAGGGCTTCTTTTTCTTTTGTATACAAACCCCATCTCCAAGTTGCCTTATGAAGTCCAGAGGTGGTGAGCACACCCCCACGGCGCTATGTTTGGCCAGAGCCAAGCGGTTCCTGCTGCTACTTCTGGGGGGTCTGAGCTGGTTAGTTTGACATAGTCCCCACCCCAGTCTCTTGGCTCATTCCCATTGCCTTTCTGGCTACTATGTGCACATGAACCTTATAAAGTGTCCACCCCTCACTGCTGTCCAGTTGATTCTGACTCATGGGGACCCTCCATCAGGTTTCTGGGCTGTAAATCCCAGAGGCCCCTTTGTACTTTGGCCTTAGTGTCAGAGAGTATCCTTGTACAGGGACCTGGGTCCAAAAAGGCACACTCCACTCCTGGCACTTCTTGGTTGGTGACACTGTGGTCCCCACTGACTTTTCCCTCCTTTTATCTCTTGTGCCTTAAAAAGATGTCATAGACCACACGCAAGGGAAACGCCCCTCATGGCGGCTTCGGGTTGTGAGGGGACTAAGAGGTGTCACAATCTACCCTGAATCCTCTTACGACTATTTGCTTTCTCAGATCTTGGGGATCATTACTTAGTTCCCATGATGTTACTTGATTACATCTATGTATTGGAGAGGAGGCAGACACACAGTTCCTTCCAGGACACCTCCTTTGCAGTTACCACTCCCAGCTCAGCTCTGTATAATTCCAGACCCTTTAAGACATCCCAGGCCAAATGACATTTTTTTTTAACCCAGAGGGGACTCCTGCAGGAATTTCTAGTGCTAGGGCTTCACTGAGATTACCTGTAACTGCAGAGCAGGAGCGTGTCTCTGCCACAGGCCTGGCCCTCTCCTTCCACCGGCCTGGCCCTGGCATTTATGGAAGTAGACCTTTCCCTTTGTATGGCAATTTGCTCCCCTCCACAGATTCTCTGTGGCCACAAGACGGGCCACCTTATACTCCTCAGGGGTGTCCCAGGCTTGTGAAAGTGACTTAGACGTCCGGCTCAGAGGCCACATTGAGTGGTCCAGTGATTAAGCAAGAGTTTGAACCTGCTGTTCTGTGAGACAAAGATGAGGTCATCTACCTGCATAGAGGTTGCAGTCTCAGAAGGCCCACGGGGCAGTTCCACTCTGTTCTGTAAGGTCACCGTGACTCAGAGGCAGTGGGTTTACTCCGAGTCCTCATCGCTGAGGTGCAGGGTCTGCTGTCTCAAAGCAGTCGACAAATGACCCTGCAAATTCAGGATGAGTTCAGGTTTTCATAAGAGCCAGTGAGGAAAGAGAGGAGATGAGTCTGTGAAGAAGATAGTCACACAGTCTCCCTTGAAAGCACTGTGTGATCACGGTTTTCTGTCAGTTCTTATGCTTTTCCTAAGTGATTCTGCCTCATTTGAACCTATATGTTGTTGTTGTTTGTTGTTGTTATGTGCCGTCGAGTCGTTTGTGACTCATAGCGACCCTATGTACAACAGCCCTAAACTGTGCTCTATCCTGTGCCAATCTCATTGCCTCTAATACACCCATCCTGAGTACCCCAGTCACTGAATCAATCCACCTCATAGAGGGTCTTCCCCTCCTGCACCGTCCCTCTACTCTACCCAGCATGATGTTCCTCTCTAAAGATCTGTCTCTCCTTACAACATGTCCAAAGTATGTCAGACGAAGCCCCAGAATCCTTGCCTCCAAGAACCAGCCTGGTTTAATCCTCTCTACGATGAATCTGTTTGTTTTCTTGGCAGTCCATGGTACATCCAATACTCTTCTCCAGCACCACAGCTCAAAGGCTTCAATTCTCCTTCTATCCAAACTACTAATATAAACTCTGCCGTCAGAGTGACCATTGGCCCTGTCTGCTTCCCCCTGAAATAACTTCCACTCCACAGCCCACACAAGAGAGAAAGTACTACACGAACTCTCATCACCTGGCTGACTGATGCATCTCTCTGTTGCATTGTCACGGAGCCAGAATTGACTCACAGCTGATCCTCCCCTGGGCTTCTGAGGTGTGAATCACACAAGAGGAGACAGCCCATCTTTGTTTCACGGAGACACTGGTGGACTCGAACCTGCACAGAGGTCTGGCTCTGGGGTTAACAGCACAGTTCCTACCAGACCTCGCCACTAGAGCTCCCGAGCTAATGCATCGAGAAAGTACAAGTAAGTTTCTCTGGAGGGTTTTTTACATCAGCACCATGACTGCTGCTAGTTAATTTTGAAGACGGACAACAAAAATATGCCTTTAGCCATCGGCTAAAAAGATCTTGGAAATAATTTTCAACTGCTTTTTGAAAAAAATTACTGATCGTTTTTATAAAATCTGTGAAAGAAACCTTGCTAAGGAGGGGGTTCTTGGTTATTCAGAGATGCTTGTCATGGAAATGTTCATGATTCTCTTTGCTAGTATTAGAGTTACTTTTAACTTTTTAAATTTTTTTAAATTTTATCTTATTATTTTTGTGTGTGTGGCCCATCAAATTGGATCTGACTGGTACAGGGAGCGATTGCCCCTCCTTCTCCAGCAGAGCATGGATTCAAACCGTGTGCCTTTGGGATTGCAGTACAGCTTCTTGCCACTAGGCCACCAGAGCTCCCTTAACTTTTTATTTTGGTTTGAATGAAACTTTACAGAGCAAATTTAACAATGACTGTGTATTTTGTTACTTAGAGTTATTTTTTCTTCTTCTTTTTTAATAACATGTGCTATTTAAGGTTTTTTTCTTTTTTAATAACATGTGCTGGTTAAGGAGCCCAGGTGGTGTAGACTTTATGTGTTGTGCTGCTAATGGAAAGGTCACCTGACCCTGGCAGCTCAAATCCATCAGGGGCTCCTTGGGAGAAGGACGGGCAGCCTCCTCCTGTTAAGATTTACAGCCTTGGAAACTCAGTGAGGGTGTCTCTGACTGTGAACTGACCCGAACACAGTGAGTTTGAGCCTCTGACATTTGCCATCAGTCTTTGAAGGCGTCCTAGTGGTCTAGCAGGTGAGGAGTTGCTCTGTCAAAGGTGGGCAGTTCAGATCCACCAGCTGTTCCTCAGGATAAGGATGAGTCATCGCCCACCATGTGATTTGCAGCCACTGAAAACCTGCTGGAGGGTCAGCTCTGAGCTCATTCCAACTTGATGGTACATAACAACAACAATATCTGCACGTGATGTATCAAAGTTTAAGATACAGAATCTTTAACACATTTGCCAGTTCCTAGCCTATGGGATGAGGTTCCAGTAACTTGGACATTCATCAGAGGAAAGTTGATCTTCCAGAAAAGTCAAGGGTTCATCCCCTTTTCCTTATTTCTAGTGTCAATGATAAATAAGTCCTCTTATATATGGGAGAGATCCGTTCTGCATACAGATTGAAAAGGCATGGAGACAAAATACATCCCTGATGGACCCTCTTCTTGATTTTGAACCATGTAGTGTTTCCTTGCTCTGTTCTGATGACTGCCTGTTGGTCCAGGTATAGGTTTTGCATAAGCACAATCAAATGTTCTGGGATTCCCATTCTTCTCAGTCAACCATAACTTGTTGTGATCCACACAGGCAAATGCCTTTGCATCGTCAATGAAGAACAGATATACATTCCTCTGATACTCTGCTTTCTGCCAAGATCCATCTAACATTAGCTATAATATCCCTAGTACTATGACCTCTTCTAAATCTAGCCTGCACATCTGGCAGTTCTCTGTTGACATATTGCTCCAATTGTTTTTGGATAATTTTCAGCAGAATATTGCTTGCACGTGATATTAATGATATTGTTCAACAATTTCTGCACTCTGTTGGGTCACCTTTCCTTGGAATGGGAACCAATATTTATCTCTTCCAGTCAGTCGGCCAGCTGGCTGTCCTCTAGGTTTCTTGGCACAACTTAGTGAGCACATCCAGGGCAGCGTCTGTTTGTTGAAATATGTCAACTGGTATGCCATCAACTCCTGGAGCTTTGTTTTTTGCCAGTTCCTTCAGAGCAACTTGAACTTCCTCCTTCATCGCCACAGGTGATGGCACGTAACAACAGCATATGTGGGAGCTGAGCTTACCCAAACCTTCAGTCAGATGTGACATACTGTCAACTTGTAATATTTTCTCTCCAACCTCAGACACACAGAGTAAATGCTTCATGTAATGCTCCCTCTATTCCGTTTTTAACTTGGTTGGCATTGTTAACATGTGCTTCAAACATTTCCTAAAGCTTCTTGAAAACTAAAACATGTGCAATGTGATTAGTTCTAGAGTAAATCGTCATATCCTAAGGACTTTGTCTCATTGTGGAGCCGGAGTGTTTGAATATTTCAACTCCAAATCCAAGCACAGCTGGAAAACACAGGTAGGATGTTCCACACTTCAGTAGACTCTTATGTTTATATGTATGATGCTAGAAGAAGTTACTGCAGGTCTGCACTCCTGCGTTAGGCCATGTTAATACTCACCTGACACCTTCCTCTAGTTCACAATTTGATTTCTGCTTCTATAAAGTGCCATGGGTTTGGGTTTGGTTTTGGAGTTCTTTATTGTGTCTCCTTTTGGTAGAGGAGATTTTTAAGAAACTGTAATCATTGCATTTTCATGAGGCAAAGGAGTCATTTTAGGATGCTTTGTAAATTTCACTTACATGATTGTGCTAGAACAAAAATTTTCTCTGTAGTTACTTCTTCACAAAGCACTCTGTTGCTGGAAGGACAACACTCCCAGAAGAGTGAATGCAAAGTTGATTTTAAATATCAAATGGGGAGAGAGAGTGGAGTGAAAATTAATAAATAGGTAAATTGATGAAAGAAATGACTATACACAATAAGGCATTGACTAGACGAATGACATTAATTAATGGTGTTAGACCAAATGTCTATGAATGCATGTATGCAAAACCAATATAGTTTACAAACAAATTTGTTTCCCATTGAACAATTCCTGGGTATTTTGTTACTTAGAGTTAATTTTTTTCTTCTTTTTTAATAATATGTGCTATTTAAGGAGCCCAGGTGGTGTAGACTTTATGTGTTGTTCACTCAAATAAAAAGAAATTCTTTTTTAAAATTAACACTATTTCATGCTATCATAAGAGCTGTTTCCTAGAAAGCTGAGAAAGGAGGAATGTTTCTTTTGTGACTAGATCGGAAGCCAGATGACACGCTCACGCTCTCCCAGCTGCCACTCAGTCTCAGTCAAGTGGCAGCGGTCCAGCACTTGCTCCCCCGAGCCACTGCAGGCACCTGCCCAGGTGCAGTCCTTGTTCCACAACGACCGGCTCCTGGTCTACGGGTTCATTCCCCACTGCACACAGGTATGTCCTCAGCTGCTGGCTTCGTTTTTTTTTGTTATAAGGACCCTGCTGGTGGTGAACAAGGGGGGGCTGGAGCGCTTCTGATTTCCCTAAAGGAGAGGAATTTGCTGAAGGAATCGCCCTTAGCCCAGTCAAGACAATGTGTAGAAAGGCTGATGAGGAAATATCTTTTTTTTTTCTCCGATTCAGGCAACTCTGCACTCCGTGATTCAAGAGAAAGAATTTAGCACGATGGTCTCAACTACCGAGCTTCAGAAGACAACTGGGACTGTAAGACCGAAAACTTAAGATGTGCACTGACTAACCCAAAGTTATAATGTTGTTGTTATGTGCCGTCGAGTCGTTTGCGACTCATATCGACCCCACGTACAACAGCCCTAAACCGTGCTCTATCCTGTGCCAATCTCATTGCCTCTGACACACCCATCCCGAGTACCCCAGTCACTGAATCAATCCACCTCATAGAGGGTCTTCCCCTCCTGCGCTGTCCCTCCACTCTACCCAGCATGATGTCCCTCTCTAAAGACCTGTCTCTCCTTACAACATGTCCAAAGTGTATCAGACGAAGCCCCAGAATCCTTGCCTCCAAGGAGCAGCCTGGTTTAATCCTCTCTATGATGAATCTGTTTGTTTTCTTGGCAGTCCATGGAACATTCAGTACTCTTCTCCAGCACCACAGCTCAAAGGCGTCAATTCTCCTTCTATCCTCCCTAGTCATTGTCCAGCTTTCTGATGCATAACAAGTGATTGCAAAAACCATGGCCTGTATCAGGCGGACCTTAGTCTCCAGAGAGACACTGTTGCTCTTGAGTATTTTGGAGAGGTCCCTAACAGCAGACTTTCCCATCGCAATATGTTTAATACTGCATCTTAATTTCTAATGCTTCATGCACTTGCTACCTTTGTTGTGTTCTGTGCTGAAACGGCAACATACAGTCTGAAGGATTGTTGTCTGTACACACTTTTCTTTGGTTTCTGAGGCACAGAGTCCTCTTCTGGGGGCCTGTGTCTAGAAGGGGGCCTCAGTGGGTGTGAGGAACTAAAATGGTAAATGACATTTTATGCATGGAAAGGTTTCTAGGATGATGGCAATAGAAGTTAAGTGCTGCTAATCTAAAATAATAATTTAAAAAATAAGTAGAGTGGTGCTCCATAGAGGCAAGGATGGTGAGATTTCATCTCCTACACTTTGGGCATGTTGTCAGGAAGGGCTAATCCTCAGAAAAGGACATCGTGCTTAGAGAAGTAGAGAGTTAACAAAGGAGAAGAAGACCTTCAAAGACACGGAATGACACAGCAGCTGCACCACTGGTTTTAAGTGCAGCGGAGATTGTGAGGATGGTGCAGGACCAAGCGGTGTACACATGGGGTCTCTGGGTCCAAGCTGACTTGATGGCACCTGCTAGCAATGTGAGGGAGCTCTGATGGCCTAGTGGTAAGAAGCTGTGCCGCAATCCCAAAGGCACGCAGTTCAACTACGCTCCACAGTTGCTCCACAGGCCAAGGATGGACAGTCTCATCCTATACTATTTACTAAAAACACACTGGAGGGTCTGCTATGAGTCGATTCCAATGCAACAGTACACAACAACAACAAACCAACAACATAAGAATGTCAGAGTAAAAAAAAAAAGCCCTCCATATCACATGTTGAGAATTTGCACTTCCCCTCCCCATTTTTTGGAAATGAATGATTGTAAAAATACATATGTAAGTACTGAATCTGCAGTAGTTTGACTATGAAAATTCTTTTTTCTTTATAATTTTATTTTATTACTTTTTGTGTGTGTGTACTTTCAAATGAAATCTGACTGGTAGAGGAGGAGATTGTCCCTCCTTCTCCAGCAGAGTATCTGGTGGATTCGAACCTTGTACCTCTGGGATTGCAGTGCAGCTTCTTGCCACTAGAGCACCAGAGCTCCCTGACTTTGAAAATTCTTAAGCTCTATATGTTACACAGGAATCTAGCTCCTAATAAGAGTACTTGTATAACCAAATAAACCATTTCCCAGACATTGCTAAAGGTTTGAAAACTAAACTATGTCTTACTTTTGGGCATTGAATCAATGATTATTGATTACTTAACTACTTGCTAGTGATTTATGATAGCACTTCAGAACCTAAAGCTATATTGCTTTATAAAATTAATCTAAGATTGGAAAGAGGTCTTTTTCCATTACTACACTTCTCCTATGAACTGTAGCTTTATCAATCACAAAATTACAAGACTTGGTGTCTGTGACAGCAGATGCTGCCCGTCAGGACCAGTGTCGCTTTCAGTCATTTGAGAGGAAAGATGGAAATTCGTCATAATGAAAATGTTCTGCTCTTGCACTTCAGAATGTGCTCATGTTGGTTATGTGCCCATGGGACACTGCAGCTATAACGAAGACTAGTTTTCAAATTTTGAAATAAGTTGAATTTGCCTTTTCTAGAAAAGTCAAGACTAGGAACAAGAAAACCCAGATGCATTATTGTCACCAGGGTCTGAGCCTGGTTAGAGGGCTGTGGGGGGTGTTGCAGAGTGAAGGATTTGTTCTGTATCTTTCTTTGTAATTGTGTTTGTGCAACTGTATACATTTATCCAAGGTTAACCAATGACATTTTTTTAAGAAGTGTGCAAATTATGCCTCTATTTTAAAAATGGTGTTCTTTGTGAGTCTTTCATTAGAAGCCACTGATACCCTATTTCTTCCCTTTGTCTCCTACTCACAGATGATTCACAAGCTCACAGCCCGTGCTCTCATTAGGGATTTTGAATACGGCATTCTGCACGAAGACGAGACACATCACCAGGTCCGTTGTTTTCATCCCAGACATGACCATGTGTGAAGCTTGGTCATGCTTAAGTTGATTTCAGAAATAGCAGGTCAGGCCGGCAGGTGGGAGAGAGGAGTGTGAGTAGGGAGGGCTCCTAATTGCTGTCATGTCCACATCCTGCTGCTGGGTACACGCACTGAAGTGCACCCGGCTGGTAGGTACACGCACTGAAGTGCACCCGGCTGCTGGGTACACGCACCGAGGCGCACTCCCGGCTGCTGGGTACACGCACCGAGGCACACTCCCGGCTGGTG